GGTCTGTCAGCCGAAAAAAGTGCATGAAAAAGTGCATTTCCGGGTAAGAAAATTGGGTGGTCTAACTGAGTTCTGCAAGAAAAAAAGCATTTCCGGGTAAGAAAATTGGGTGGTCTAACTGAGTTCTGCAAGAAAGAAAGCATTTCCGGGTAAGAAAATTGGGTGGTCTAACAGAGTTCTGCAAGAAAAAAAGCATTTCCGGGTAGAAAAATTGGGTGGTCTAACAGAGTTCTGAAAGAAAAAAAGCATTTCTGGGTAAGAAAATTGGGTGGTCTAATGGGTCCCTGCAAGAAAATAGCATGAAACGGGATACAAAGTATTTCAGTTCATATCAATAACAACTCCATCAAAATAGAATCGTATTTCCGTTTTACCGAGGTGTGTCGAATTAGTGGTCGAATCCAAGCGAAGATAAATTCAATTTTAAAATGCTTGATGAGTCTTGGGTCGCTGGTAAATTACGCTTCCTACTTGGATCTGCGTCTCGATTTTGACAATTGCCATAAACTGAGTGTTAAATTGTACGATAAACGTGATGACTTTGACTTTCCGATTGTTAAATTTCCATTTATTAGTAGTAATATTCCAATATCACCAGCTTATGGAGTGTTTGTGTCTCAGCTAATTCGTTACGCGAGAGCTTGTTCCTTTTATTCTGATTTTTTAAGTAGATCGAGGCATTTGTCATCTAAGCTTCAACTACAAGGATACTTGCGCACTAAACTTATTAAAACCTTTAAAAAGTTTTATGGCCGTCATATTGATTTGATTGGTAAATATAACGTGTCTCTCTCGGCTATTATTCTAGATATATTTAATTGACACGTATACTATTACTATCTCCCTGATAATATCTACTACATCGTTAACACAGTTCATCGCGTGCATTTTGCATACCGATAGTTCATTGGCCAATCACGCTTTTTTACCGACATTTCGCCTAATAGTTTGGATGCAGCTATGGCGGGTGTGGCGCCCGGCAGGGTAAGCTTACTCTTCCGGACACCTGTCACCACTGTTTGTCGTGTAATTTGTACACGAGGAGCAGTCCATTTGCTGATTACACTATTTTGCTTGAATACACTATTTTGCCTATAACGTTTTTTAGGACTTCGAATTCTGTCTTATGGTTTGGATTGTTCGTACTTGGTTTTATTTTATTTTAATTTGAATATTTCAAATAAAATATTTTTAACGTCTGAATATTTTTAAAAAGATTAGTAAATTAGCCTTAGTGTGGCCTTTTTGACCGGTCGTGCCAGTCGTGAATGAATTAGTTACGGCCTGTTAACCGAGACTACACAGGGATAACTCTTGGCAACAACCGGCAACAATGATGGCTACACTTTCGAAGTTTTGATAACTTCAACATGGGTGAGTTTTTAGCCTTTATTATTTTATTTGCAGACCGTCAACACGATTTTATTGCTAGTTCTTGTTCAGAGAAGAGCAGTTCTTGCATACACCCCTCAGAATACCCTATAAAACTATGTGATGCCTAGGATTCAAGTGGTTGCGATGTATATCGTTCTGACGTGTTGTCAATCATTGTCATTATCAATTTTAGCATAATTTCCCGTTATCCTAGGCCCAAATCAGCTGCTATTTCAACTTCCCTAGTGACTATATTTTCAAACAATTTCTTGAGACTAATGACTCATTATCAGGCGGATCATGTTATTCAGAATTTGGGCAAACTTTGATTTAAATTGTCCACTTTAAAGTAAACACTGCAGAGATTACCAGAGTGCAAAAAAACAAAACAAAATTGTCCACACTGCTTAGTTACGAATAATTTATGATGCCTGTTTATGACTGATTTTCTTCTGTTTTATATATTTCAGAGATGTGTTTGGATGAAGTTTGAAAATATTCTTGAAGTTATTTGTCAATAAAGATTTGGGTTGAGGAAGATGGCTGAGCACAAAATGAAAAAAAAGTACACTGTAATATTTATATACGCAGTTATTAGCCTTGCTAAAACAGAGGGGAGTTATATATTGTCCAATCGACAGTGTCTAATCCACCAACCAAAACGCAAGATTCACCCTTAAGCTTGTTACATTGCTGTGTCGATACTGTTTTTTTCCCTGTCTCGGAGGTGGTGTTTGGTAACTATGTTTTTAGGACAATTGTGATACTTAAGTGAATGGTGAACTTTGTGTCGTAAGGTGACAACTGTGATTAACTTTATAGTGAACTTTAAAGTGAACTTTAATTTCGTGAAAACCCATGCTTTCTAACATGGCGGATCTCCATAGACATCGTGAACTCTGTGAACCGTGAACTCTGTGAACCATGAACTCTGTGAACTGTGAATTCCGTGACTCGTGAACTCTAATTATTGAATTAGAACTGTCAACAAAGAAAGCTGTCAACTTGTTTATGTTTGTACTGTAACTCCTGTTTCTTGTATATGTTTATTTACATAAATATTCATTAATATTTCAAAGCCTTATCATTTCATTCAAGTGTTATCCCGTGATTTGATCGACTGTTGTCCTGTCAATTTGGTTTGCCAGCCCACTCCGAATAAACACGTCACGTGGAGAGGGTTAACATCTTTTTTACCAACAACACCGCAGCATGCCGAGATGAGATTTGGGTAATCTTTTACTTCTTCACACTCTGGTCAAAATTGGTCAACCTGTGATCAGTAGATTTGAGTGGATATGGGAAAGCACAATAAATGAATAGGTACAAGCCTAAGTTCAAGAAACACATTTTCTTGCACAAGATCTTAGGGTGGTCTAATGAGCAACTGTGAGGAACACATTTTCTTGCGCATGATTTTTGGGTGGTCAATTAAGCAACTGTGAAGAACACATTTTATTGCGCAAGATTTTAGGGTGGTCTTTCTTAAAAATGATGGTGCATATTTTTTTACGCAAGATTTTAATGGGTGGGTGGTCTACCCAGGTCCAATGCATATTTTTCGACTTGACATATGATGTTATTTTACTACTGCCCCCCGCACCGCACAGAGTAAACACATCTAACAACCAGATCTTATGAATTCGAGCCTCTTCAATAGTTATAAAGCACATCAAACAGTGTAGAATAAATTGCCTAACAGAAAATCATGCTTTATAAGTTGTTAAAGGGGCGTGGGGCTATTTAAGGAATGACGTTTGTGCACACAATGCAATGAAATAATTACCACCGGTGTAAGGAATTATTTTGACAGAATATGTCAACTGCAAATATGATGACTAAACATCAGTTTGTTCAGAGGACACTCTGCATGCGCGAACTTTCAAGTCTGTACCGATTTTAAAAAATTAGACAATCCCACATATTTTAAGATTGGCGTCGCCATTCAGTCTGAAGAACAGTTCCGTTCGTCTTTTTAATTCCACCTTACTTGTTGTTCTGTAACCCCTAATCTAAAATGCTCTTTCGATCTCATCTAATATAGTACATGCCACAAAAACATTGAATTAACTTATTTATGATATCCCCATTCTTTATCAAAAATTAAACTTAAATATATGATACAATTCCTTTTTAAATTGGCTTTCTCTGAAATAAAGTTTGGCAAAGTTATGCGTTACATATAAGCATGAAATGTATTTAGTAGGTTTTATTTGATTTTCAGCGAAAAAGGGTCGTCGTTCTATAATAATAAAAAGAAATAAAGAGTTTGAATTATTAGTTTATTTTCAAGTTTTGTCTTACACAATAGACATATTGTTAGCTTCTGACACATGTGTATTAATTCTACAAGCCTTCTGTGTTTATTGCCGAGATAATCGCACCACCCTTCAACCCAAAATGCTTTCTATAGATCCCATATTATGTAATATGTGAATGGTGCAATATCCATACTGTTAGTCTTAATTGCGAAGACATTTAAACAAAAGGATTTAATCAGGGTAGGGAGTCGACGTGTACACACGTAAATCAGACGCGTGAGATTTATCATTCATGGATGTGTTGTCAGTGTGGGAAATACTGTTTTAAATGGATATATAAATACACGTTTTATGATTGTGGACGAAACGGTATGTGTATCTCAAGAAAGCTTTGCTTCGGAACCGTCCCGTCGCCATTAAAAATCCAACATCTGTTTCACCGTAGTGATCTTGAAAAATAATCCCCGGATAATAACAGGCATTACAGATACCTGCCGTCGTATGAATCCTGAAAAATAATATTTCACCGTATCGCAACAGGTCAGTACTAAAACTAACACTTAATACAGTATTTCAACATTGTGCTGCAAAACTGAACGATGACCAACAACTAAACACATCATAATATCTTAACATCGCACGTGAAATTAGATGTTTGACAACAAAATTTAACACCTTGCGTAATTGGACACCTTGACTAATTTTTAATCACGACTCCGGAAATTGAACGGTCCAACTAATTATTGAACAGTCTTGCTAATTAAACGGGACGCTTACAATTCAACACGTGTCGAGAAACTAAACACTAGTTAATTAGACGCTTGGTAATCAAAATTAAACAGTGAGAGTGAAATTTGATAGAAGTACAAATTGAGCACAATATTTATGAATAATTGTACACCGAGTAGAAATTAGCCCTATTTACGCAAGATTAAACGGTACCAAGGTTACAGATAAAAATTGTGACTTCTAGGGTGTACCAAACCTTGGTATGACATACTTTTACACTATTTGTGCACGAGGAGCAGGCATTTTGTCAGGGAGTTTCGGGTCCGATTTTCATTATGGTGTAACAGGGATATCTTTGAATGGTTTTTAAAATTGAATAAAAAATTGTGACCTCTAGAGTGTTCTCAAGCTAAAAACATGGTTCTTTTAGTACAATTAGGGGCCATAATCCATGAAATTACGGTTCAATACATGCCGATATCAAAAGGAACCGAGATCTTTGGGATATTTATAAAACCGATATTTCAGGTTTTGTCAAAATTCGATAAAAACTGTGCCCTACAGATGGACAATGGCGGCGGCAATATATGTCCACATGAAAAAGTGGGCGTATAAAATGTCTCTGTATGTACATACCTCACAGCCGCATTAACTGAGAACAGATACTTGTCAGGCTTTACTTCCAATATAGGCAATTTATGTTCTGTTAAATAGGGCACAATCAATTCTATAAATATCAATAATGGCATAATTACCACAAATTATGAAAAAAAGCAGTTGCCATGCAAGATACGCCCAAATTTAGCAAGAGATGGGGCCATCATCCAGGATGTTCAGGATGACATGCGACAATATCAAATGGAACCAAGATCTTTGGGATGTAAACATAAATTTTCAGTTTCATCAAAATCGGATAAAAATTGTGACCTCTAGAGGGTCCACAACATTGGTATTACATGCTTTTACACTATTTGTTCGTTCTGACGGGAAGTTGTACGATTAAAATTGTAACCTCTAACACAATTTTTTGTACAATCAGGAGACATAATCCAAGAAGTTACAGTCCAATATGCATGAATAACGAAAGGAACCGTGATCTTTGGGATAAGTTTCATCAAAATCAAATAACAAGTGGTTGCCAAGCAAAATATGCTCAAAGTTTGCAAGTGATGGACAGAACAAACTGAGAAAAAAAAGTGATTTATCGGACAATAATGGGCCATAATCCAGGAAGTTACGGTCCGTTACGCACAAGTATTGAAAGGAACCCAGATGGCCAGATCTTTGGGCTAAAAACATATATTACTAACATATAAATATAAAGAATGTGGGGACCATTCGGGACTAAATGTTATGAAGTTGTATAGCCATTTGTTGCAAAAGTTCTTAAGTGTGAATCCATTTGGATTTAAAATGGTTCAAATATTAATTATCCAATGTGACATATCAATTATGTCTCATTCAGGATCAGTCATGAAAAGCCCAATTATTTGTATCGTGACATTTCTACTTGCATATCAGCCTTCTAAATGATTTGATTAGCTTTTTGGGAGGGTGCACAGCATGAGCTCTTTCCGAACAGGATAATAGATGCCATTTCTCTTGGGACTGGGAGGCCTTACTAAATTGAACAATGGTGGGATCATAATCCGTTATATAAACGATCGAATTTCATTTTGATGAGGTAAAAATAGTTGCCACTTGGATTTGAGCGAAAAATAGTGATCTACTTGGAAACAAATTTGCTAACCAAATTTCAGAGAATTTTGACTCGAGTATAACGGTATAAATTTGTTGTTCAATTCACAAACTAATTTGTACTCTGATATAATGGCGGAAGGCAGAACAAACACTTGCTTTCTGATTGGCAGATTATACTCTGGTAATGTTCCTGACGTAAAATCTATCCGAGTCATTTCGGTAAAGAGTCAACTTCTCCCTAGGTAATGTTTGACTCTGGGTTCGGTTTATTGTTTGAGGTGACCGGAGTTAAGGGAGAGAGAGAGAGAAATGGGGTTTAACGTCCACTCGACACAAACTAGGTCATTTCGGGACTAACATATGGTTTTAATTTTTTAAATTTTATTTCAATAATTTGCTTGCGCGTAGGTGTCTTTAGCAGTGGGTGGAAACCGGAGGACCCGGAGAAAACCCACAAGGTTGGACAGGCGTTCCTACTCCTTGTCACGTACAACCAGGGATTCGAAACCACGCCAGTTGACTCAATGACAGGCCTTATGATACAGCGCGCGCATGCTAACCATTCGGCCATTCGGCTGGTAAGGTTACGCCGCAGTGAGTGTAAACAGAATTTGAAATCTATGAGTGGCAAGTGGCCGTCCCAGATTTCTCTCATGAAACTACTAGTTTCGTTCATTTCGAACTCATCAGGCTTAAATGAAATTGTGCGGATGTTCCCTTTATATATTCGTCGGGGACTTGCGCAAAAGAGTATTGGATGGACTTGTGCAGTGCTGTATCACCGGAGCAACTGCTTCTGTTTAATGGTGAACAGAGTGACAGCTAAAGAATTGCTGTTATAAAATGCTTATTTGCATATACTCTAAGGCTCCCAAACCATTTGACTGTTTTGTTTAAAATAATATAAACAAGTGAGAATTATTTGGATAACCGGTTACTGAATTGTGTAATATGTACTAGTTTTTCTAGTATTAGATAGCACCGCGTTTCTCAACCTGGGGTGAATTCACCCCCAAGGGGGGAATGGCTCGTGTCCAGGGGTAAATGACCACACTCCAAGTAACTTCAAAAATGGTCATATAATGGTCCTATGAGAGATGAAGTTGCATTTCAAGATTTCAGTTGTCAACTTTTTCTCAATTTCAATTTGAATTGATGATCGTGCTCGATCCAGGCAGCCTAGATGATCCGCTCATCAGTGGTTGCCATGGTGATAGCTAGTTTACTTGGCTGTGTGAGTGGGAAACGGCGCAGGTGTCCATTGTCATTGTATGGCTAGCTCATTCAACAGATGAGTCCCCAATTTAGTTTCATTTGAATTTTTATACGTACTTTTGATTCCATGTGATTTTGATTCAAAATCATGTCTCCAAAGAAGCGTAAATACCAAGAAGAGTATGTATCGTATGGGTTCAAGTCGATAACAGGCGCGGATGGCGTCGAGAAGCCTCAGTGTTTCATCTGTGGTAAGGTTTTGATCAATGATAGTCTGAAACCCTCGACATTACGGAATCACCTACAATCTCTGCATGCGGGGAATCGCAATGACACCAAAGAGATGATGTTACAAAAGAAGGCCCGTTTCGAAGCATCTGGGACATTGACGAAATTTGATTTCGCGACCCCAAAGAAGCTACTTCTTGAAGCCTCATATAATGTTGCGTACAGAATTGCACGTTCTAAGAAACCCCACACCATTGGCGAAACTTTGGTGAAACCATGTGCTCTGGAAATGGTTGAAATTGTATGCGGTAAAGCTCAACGAGAGTTGATAGAGAAGATTCCTTTGTCAAATGATACCAACAGCCGGCGAATTAATGACATGTCCGTGGACATTCTCACTCAGGTCATTGAACAAATCAAGAACAGTCTGTACAAATTTAGTATGCAGCTTGATGAGTCAACAGACTGTGCCAATTTAAGTCAGTTGTTGGTGTGCGTGCGCCACTGATGACCACAACAAAGGCAGAAGATGTCTTTCGATTCGTACGAGGGTTCCTAAACGACCATGATATTCCCATTGACCATCTCAGGTCGATTTGCACTGACGGGGCACCAGCTATGTTGGGAAATAGATCAGGATTTGCTGCATTAGTTCGCCGTGAAGTTCCACATGTAACCGTGACACACTGTGTTCTGCATCGCCAGGCATTGGCTTCAAAAACGCTACCTGATGAGCTGAATAATGTACTAGCAACAGTGGTTTCAGTTGTAAACTTCATCCGTGGAAGAGCATTGAATCGCCGACTGTTCATGGCGCTGTGTAACGAAATGGGCAGCGAACATGAAGTACTTCTTTTTCATACTGAAGTAAGATGGTTATCTCGGGGTCGCGTGTTGAATCAAGTACTTGAACTGAAGGTGGAGATAGAGGAATTTCTGAGAGAAAGGAACAGAATTTTGTATGAAAAATTCACCGAGGCAACCTTTGTCTTCAAACTGGCTTATTTGGCCGACGTTTTCACTCTGCTGAACGAACTGAATACATCATTGCAAGGTAGAGGCATGATCATATTCGATGCTAATGAGATGATCAATGCATCCAAAAGTAAGCTGGGTCTGTGGAAGCGACACGCATCTCATGGAAATTTCACAAACTTTCCGACATTAGACAATCTCACCGAGCAACAGGAGGACCCTGATGTTGTCCCGGAACAGTTGAAGGAAGACATCTGCACTCATCTAGTGCAGCTTGGAAACTCATTTGATGGCTATTTCAAAACTGAGGACGACGGCGACAACCAGTGGATTCGAAATCCGTTCACTTCTGACATGGACGATGACAATGTACTCAAGGACGAGCTAATTGAGCTCAAGTCGAAGGATATGTTGAAGAAAGCAGTTCAAACAATGTCTATCGAAGCTTTTTGGAAATGAAATGAAATGAAATGGGGTTTAACATCCTACTGTTCTGCTCCGAACTGGGCTAATGAAGACGGGGTGTAATACAGAGGTCAGACAAGGATTTGTTAACTTAGCGTCGCTGGCCATTTCCAGTGTAATGCGTTCGTTACAACATACCTTTGTGAATCTGGATTTTCAACGCTGGTTGTGATAAAAACCAAATACCGGAACAGACTGAATGTCTGAAATGAAATGAGATTAGCACTCTCAAACACTGTCCCGAGAATAAAAAAAATCGTTTGTGACAATCACCAGGAGCAAATTTCGCACTGAACTGGAAACAATGTATTTTCATTAAAATATAAATTTGGTGATTATTGAATCTCAACTTCGATCCGCATTCATTCCATATTCAATGTCAATGTGGTCGATGGGCTTCGCGTCTACGGAGCTCGCGATGACCGCCTTCGCCGGCCACGGATCCGCGGTCAGTAACCTCTTCAAACCTCTGGGGGGTAAATGGGTCGGTTGACTATTCATTTAAGGGTGAGCGGTGAGAAAAGGTTGAGAAACATGGGTCTAGAGGGATCCACAATCTTTGTATTACATACTTTTCCACTACTTGTGTAGTAGGTAGTAGTCCGGTGGCTGAAGGGGGGGGGGGGGTTCGTCACCCAAGCTGTGAATTTATGAGACCAAGTTTTTCTAGACCAGTTTTTTGTGTGGACTCCGAATCTAGGTGGTGATCAGGCATTTGAGGGGGCGATTTCGAGATATGACGGGTCCAATGTCTACAATTGGGGGAAAATGTGATTATGTTGACATAAATGATGATCATGTTATATATTGATAAAACATAAATTTCTAGGACTGTCCATCTCCAAAGAAGTGCATATGATATGGTGGCCGATTTAGGACACGCAAAAAAAAAATAAAAATTCTTGAGCACTCGAGATACTAAGTCGAGCAGTTGAGATACTAAGCCAAGCACTCAAGATAGTTGTCAAGTGCTCAAGATAATTAAGTCGAGCACTCGAGATCCTAAGTCGAGTGCTCGAGAAAATTAGGTCAAGCACTCAAGATAATTAGGTCGAGCACTCAAGATAATATAACCGAACACGTCTCAACCTAGCATCTAAATAAGAGGAAATGTCAGTCTCTCCTAGCAAAACTCTGTAACCT